TGGAAAGTTGACCAAAACAACAATTGTAGATCTTGATGAGTTTAACAAACTTGATATTCAAAACTTTTCAATTTGAAGTCATTTAGAGTTCATAATACTAGAGTCAAAGTGTTGTTTTTTCATTTGACCAAATTTGACTTGGTCAAACTTGCTCAAATGAGACACTAAATGACCTCAGATGAAAAATCTCTGAATACCAAGTTTGATCATCTCAGCAAGATCTACAATTGTTACATAGCTCATTTTCCCATTGGAGAAAGTTTTATCAAACACTAGTCACAAATTCTTAAATCTCAGACTTTCTGAAACTGTCACACACTTATGAAATCTCAGACTTTCTGAAACTATGTCACACACTTGTGAAATTTAAACTACATTTTGTTCAAACTTTCTCAAATAAAAAATGGCCTATATAAGGATTGTAGATCTTGATGAGCTGAACAAACTTGGTATTCAAAACTTTTCAATTTGAGACAATTTAGGGTTCCGAAAACTAGTTTGTAGGCGTCGAAATTTAAAAATCACAAATTTGAACCATCCAAACTTTCTCAAATGGAAAGTTAACCAAAACAACAATTGTAGATCTTGATGAGTTTAACAAACTTGGTATTCAAAACTTTTCAATTTGAAGTCATAGAGTTCATAATACTAGAGTCAAAGTATTGTTTTTTCATTTGACCAAATTTGACTTGGTCAAACTTGCTCAAATGAGACACTAAATGACCTCAGATGAAAAAACTTTGAATACCAAGTTTGATCATCTCAGTAAGATCTACAATTGTTATATAGCTCATTTTCCCATTTGAGAAAGTTTTATCAAACAGTAGTCACAAATTTTTGAATCTCATATAGACTTTCTGAAACTATGTCACACACTTGTGAAATTTGAAACATATATTAAACATATTACAATGTGAAGTCATAACATATTACATAATATCCGTCTCTAAAACATAATATATTAAACATGCATCGTTGTATCATGCGGGCACAACAGTTAATTTCTTCTTGACGTATGACCCTTGGTTATGATCTTGTCGTAACCATGGAGTGTCTTCATCATTTAACATGATGCTTGGATCTTTCTTCACTATGAAGGGTGGAATTCGGACATTTATTTCATAATCTTCTGACATGTCTGACTTGTCTTCAATTCCCACTATATTTATTTTCCTAGAAAGAACTATGTGGCGCTTTGGCTCATTGATCATTGAGTTGATGTCTTCGTTTTTTCCTCTCTTTGATTTTGTAGACATGTCTTTCACATAGAACACCTGACTCACATCGGCAGCAAGGACGAATGGTTCGTCTTTATACCCAATATTGTTGAGGTCCACTGTTGTCATTCCATACTCTTTGTCGACTGTTACCCCTTCTCCAGTCAGCTTCACCCATTAGCACCGGAATAAAGAGACTTTAAAATTAGGTGCGTAGTCTAATTCCCATATCTCTTCTATGTGGCCATAATATGTTTGTATATTTCCATTTGGATCTGTGCCATCTATGCGAACACCACTATTTTGATTGGTGCTCCTTTTATCTTGGGCAACTGTGTAAAATGTATTCCCATTTATCTCGTACCCTTGGTACGTAAGGATATGCCACGATGGTTGCCTAGCCAACAAATACAGTTGCTCATCAATATTGTCATCGCCATGACATTCTTTTCGCAACCAACCACTGAAACTTTCCATGTGCTGACGCATAATTCAAGCTTCAGTCTTCCCTGGAAACTTGGATCGTAAGAACTCCTTATGTATCTCGATGTACGGATGCACCAATGACGAGTTCTGAAGAACTGTGTAGTGTGCTTTATTGAAATAATCGTCTTCCATGCCGATATATGTTTTCTTCCCTAAAGTTCCTTTACCACTGAGTCTCCCCTCGTATCGTGATTCGGGAACGCCAATCGGGGCAAGGTTAGGAATAAAGTCAACATAGAACTCAATGACCTCCTCTGTTCCATAGCCCTGGGCGATGCTTCCTTCAGACTTAGAACGGACTTTCACATATTTCTTCAAGACTCTTATAAACCTCTCGAAGGGGAACATGTTATGTAAGAACACAGGTCCAAGAATACTAATCTCTTTCACCAAATAAATTAGGAGGTGTGTCATGATATTAAAGAAGGATGGAGGGAACACCAACTCAAAGCTGACAAGACATTGAACCACATCATTCTGTAGAGTAGCTAGTTCTACTAGATTGACTGCCTTCTGAGAAATTGCATTGAGGAATGTACATAGCTTCACGGTAGCTAGATGTATATGTGGAGGTAGAATTTCTCTTAAAATAAGTGGACTAATTATCCCGGCCTAGTAAACAAACATAGCTTCACGGCTTCACGGTGGCTAGTGTATTCACGGTGGCTCCAACGGCAGCTAGTTCCAGGGGACTAGTAAACAAACAAGCGAGATGTATCCGTCCGAGAGCCCGTGGACGTAGCCACGTAGGCACAACAGTGCTGGGGTGCCACCACGGCATGCAGTGAAGGCGGAGGCAGGATCTGGATCTACACGCTGGACGCATGCATGCATATGCATGCCGTTGGTGTAAATGAATAAATATTATGGGGTGGGTGCATGCATGCATGTGCACCAACCATCACCCTTGGTATCCTCGTCTGTGTTTTCGATGCATGTGCATATATATATTCTCATGCTGTGCACCAGAGTTTTTATTATATATATGTAAATCGGTAAATACGGTATATATGTAAATATATATGCTATTTGTTAATTAATATTATATATCCTCATGTTGTGCACCACTTTTTACAAGCATGTCACATCACAATTCTCACATGATTTGCTTGTTTGGTGAGATGGGAATAATGGAAGTTGGTGTCAAGCGCGGGTGCACAGCATCAACTACGTACCGAAAGGATTAGATATCAGATTTACAATCAGGACCATAAATATTTCTCGGATGCTAGTCTAGGAACTAGAAAATTTGAGGATTTGTTTCGCTCTACCGCCAGGCAAGGTTGTTTGCCAAGCAGCGGATCCATGCTATCGATTTCGTTCACCGGTAGGCTAGGATTGATGCCCGCTAACGAGGAACCTACTCCCTCCGTTCGAAATTATAAGTCGTTTTAATTTTTTGGGTAGACATAGCAAATTGTAAAAAAATCAAAACGACTTATAATTTGGAACGGAGAAAATACCTAGCAGGCCACCAACCAAATACATCATGAATCCTTCCAAAACAACAAGGCTTCAGTAAGTAAGTAAAAGTCTAACACACACAGGCACTCACGCAAAGTTTAACTGCCATTGTAGATTGCCCTGGTATTTTTGTCCACTGCATGCGTAGTATCTCGCGTGCTCCACTGTTCCTGTGTGGATTACAAATTAACCCGAGTTTGAGTTACAATCATCTTTTCTTTACTCTCGTTCTTCTTAACATTGAGGGAATGAAAACTTTAATTCCTCACTCAAAGGTGTCTGTTGTCGGTTCCAAGAACGTTTGAAGTGCCAACTGCATCTTACATCATATCATCCTCTTACAAGTGTTTGGTTCCTATTTCTTTTTTCAGAACACGACTTCACGTGTATTTTATTAAGAAGAAAGAGTGCCGAAAGAATGGCTTACACAACGCAGCTATGAGTCTTGGGAGATCCCATAGTACTGGTTACAGAACCACCGAGAAAGTGGTTAGGAACCCAAGCGACAACAGGACAGAAAGAAAGGCGGCAAGGAGAGTAACCGACTAGACCAGCAAAATGTTTGGTTCAAATTTCAAAGGCTTGATGCTTTTAATAAGGGGGGGGGGGTAGGAGTTTGGGTTTTTTCGAATACATTATATATGTACGAACGTAAGTCCATTATTATTCCATATTCTTCCTCAGTCGTCACGCATGGTTCATTAGAATTTTAGTTATGTTATATGGGAGTTGTTATATTTCAGGTGTATAAATTTTTAGACAACAATCTTTGACCATCAACTAGTACGATTGTTATTAGTCCAACAATAAAAAAATACATATTATCTGAATAACAACAAAATAATCAGGCACCTAACATACAGAACTGATGCTATATTTATTAATATAGACATCCTAGCAAGCTAAAAGCTGCGCGGTCTCCATCATAAATTCTTAAAATGGTTAAGCACAATATGTATGAGAGGACACACATACACCTACCTACTTGATTCCTTTCACAAACACAAAAGGAAATAAACAAAACACACAAAGAGAGAAAGCAAGGCAACTTTCTACCAACCAAATTTTGGTCGCATGCGTGGACGATGCATGAGCGATCGATATGCACGTATAAGAAAAATAAGATAAACACACATTGGTGTCAATGCATGCTCGTGAGCCTGCATGCATGTCCGGTCAGATCATAGCATAGCAGCATAACATATTCAGGCCTCGTTTAGATGCTGAAAAAATTTCAACCCGATAAATAGTACTACTTTCGTCTTATTTGACAAATATTGTCCAATCGTGGACCAACTAGGCTCAAAAGATTCATCTCGTGATTTCCAACTAAACTGTGTAATTAGTTATTTTTTTTACCTATATTTAATACTCCATGCAAGCGACTAAAAATTGATGTGATGGAGAGAGAGTGAAAAAACTTGGAATTTTGGTGGCATCTAAACAAGGCCTCAACGTCGTTGCTGAGATGCGTGGAATCATCGATGGAGCATGTGCGTGCATGGCATGCAGACAACGGGACAAGTCGTCGTGTCCATCGATTTCTGACGACGATGCCCCTCGGCTTGAGATTCTTCTTCGCAGGCCGCATCCTGGGTCTTGTTTAGATTGTAAATTTTTTGTAATCTGAATATTATAACATGTTTTGTTTATATTTGACAAACTTTGTCTGATCATGGACTAACTAGGCTCAAAAGATTCGTCTCGTGATTTACAACCAAACTGTATAATTAGTTATTTTTTTTACCTACATTTAATACTCTATGTATGCGTCCAAAAATTGATGTGATAGAAAGAGAGTGAAAAAACTTGAAATTTTAAGACAATGCCGCGATGGATATATACACATACACTGACACTTGTCAAATCGAGTGTACGTCGTCAGCCTTTTTGCAAGGGTAATCCATTGCGTTGCATTTCTCTAGTAGTACGAGCGTACGACTAGATGATAGCCGCTGCAGGGGCGGGCTCAGCGTGTCAGTGACGTGCGGATCCATATATATATACATGCATGCTATCGATGGATGGATGGATGGATGGATCAGTGGTGTTCCCCGTCCGTTGCACACGGTGAAATTATAATGCTGTGTGAATGTGTGATGGATGAATGGATCGCCGGACGCCGGCGCCCAATCATAGCACCTGTCCTGTCCGAATGAAGAAGGCGCCTGTTTGCCGGCCGGCGAACTCCATTGACCGGCACTGCAACCGCAATGAATATAATGACTAGGGAGAGAGATGCAAGCAAATACTCCCTTCGTCCCATAAAGATTGCAAACATAGGGTGGGAGCGTTGTCCGTGAAAAAATACAAACGGAGGGGTGACAGGTCTATCAATATGACCTGAGTAGCTGTCGTTTGTGTCTCTTGATCCCACCATCCAAAAAAAATCTTCTTCCTTGCCCTTAAAAAAAATCTCCTTCCAGAGCACCTTCCTCACCACCACACGTTACAGCTCGCATGTCATCCTCATCCACTCGACTCTCCTCCACCGCCCGCAACTCCATTGACCGCGCCGCCTCCCGTACCAGCGCGACCGGTCCGAGTCTCCTGCGCTCTCGCTCAGCTGCGCTGCGCCGTGCGGGCCCGACCCAGCGCCTCCTCCCTGCTGCTTGCCCGCTGCATGTTGTCGAGCCGTCGCCCCCACCATCGAACCTCCGTTGTTGCCGTGTCTCTCCATGCGTCGGAGATTGCGAGACCAGCGCCCATTGCCGCCGAGCCCTTTCAGGGTCCGATAGCCGCAACGCCTGCGAGCTGTTTGCCGCAGCGCCGCGTGCGCTTGCTTTCGACGACCACGCCGGCCTGGACCCGTGAAACCACGAAGCCGCCCGTCAAAACAATCTTCCACGCATCTCCCTCAGCTCGCTTGACCGCACCGCCTCCTCCATCTTCTGTTCCATCTCCCTCTTCCCCTTCTCCATCCTTAGGCCTCACGCGTCAACAGGGATAGCTGGATCTCGACGTCGCCCTTTCTGCACCTGTGGGAGCAAGATCCAACGGGTTAGGCACTCCACGCATCGAGGTGCGAAGTTGGCCAGCAGCAATAGCGATGGGAGCCCCGAGCGCCCAGTTAAGGTGTTGGTCGTCGGTGCCAATGCGGGCGGCGGCGCTGATGGGAGCCCCATGTGCGTCCCTGTGTTTGGGGGGGGGGGCGACGGAATCCCAAGATCCGTCAGCAAGATTGGGGAAGGCGATGTCCATCCCCAACATGTGCGACTGGATTGGGGAAGGCGCGCGAGCTCCGTGCCTGTCCTCAAGATGTGCGACGAGATTGGGGAAGGCGGCGCGAGCTCCGTGCCTATCCCCAAGATGTGCGACGGTGGTACAAGACAGAAGGAACCCATGAAGCTGGGGGCCGGTGGCGGTGACGGGAGCCCGGAGCACGTCCTCAATATTGGGCGTAGTCACCTTCGCGTCGATCACCTCGACCAGTTGTATGTCCTTCACTCCGAAGATGTAGGCATCGGCATGGAGGCGGGACTTTATGTCCCTGATTTGGAGGAGGAAGATGGACATGGCCGTGGCTATGAGCGTCGATAGCTTCGTCGATGTGCTGGGCTGCCCGAAGGTGATGTTGGTGGGCGCTACAACTGTGGACGTGCAGTGGTGGCGTCTATAGCCAACAACAAGTCTGAGAAGATGACCATGGCCGCAAATCCGATCATCAAGGCTGCCTCAGTCCAGGCTGCTATGGACGTCCCTGTGGGGGATGTCGTCGCCGCCGCTGACGAACTACACCCAGAGATGGTTCAACACTTGAAGGTACAGCTTGCCAGGATGGAACCCCTCTTCCACGAGACCTTTCTCAGCATCCTTAAAATTTATTTGCCTACATGCTTCCAACCATAGTGAAATGTGCATATTTGTGACGATCAGGTGTTGCTTTTGGGTTGATCTGTTGGTCATGTGCATATTTGTGATGATGAAGTAAGTGCCGCTTTGTGTTAATCAGTAGATCATGTGTGACGATGAAATGATATGTAGGTATGCTGGTGTGCATGGTTTAGTTTGAATTTGCTGGAAAAAAATGTTGGCTTTTGGGTAGGAGTAATGCTACTGATCTAGTATGTGGTGACCAACCTTGTGGATTTAGTTGTAATTGTGATGGGGTTGTTTCCTTGTGAATTATGCTACTAAATTAACTACCTTAATTTAACAGGAAGCCAAAACCATTGTTGTAAAGTGGAAATGCAGTTTTCTCTCGAAAGACGTTAAAAGACTTGTGAACATGTGTGCCCCCTTCTGTTTTTTTTTTGCATTTGGTCACAAGTTTTAATTAAAACGTTGATTAATTTTGAAGCATTGGACAACACATAGGGATCACACTAGCAAACACCTTTGTACATGCAACATAGTAGTAGCAAACACATTTGTACATGCAGCACACTACCAGCAAACACCTTTGTACATGCAGCACACTAACACTGCATTCAGCAAAATGTTGAGTTCTAAACACTAAGAAACTAGGCATTTAGGGACTCCATCACACTCTCATATAGTTGATGGTCACAATTGAGGCTCTTTGGAAGCATGCCTAGGGCCTCCAGCTTATCTTTGTTCATGTGAGGGATCTTGTATTTGTTCCCTCCACCGGCCTTCATCACCTCAATCATGCAACCTTGCAGTGTTAGGAAGACATTTCTAATTGCTCTATGGTCATAGTTTTCATATTCATTCTTAACATTGGCAATTAAGTCATTCATATTGTTAGAGATCGTTGTGTATGTCAACGATTGTAGATATGCAAGGAACCCTAGATCTAAGACATTCATATCAGGGGAGTTAGGGGGCTGGTTCGTGAGGCAGATATCAAGCCCAAGGTGGGCTACTGCTCGTGCAAATTCCTCATCATTAACCGGGATATGAGTCCTAGCATTGTCCTGATGAATCCAAATAGTTTGGTGGCGTTGATCTCGAGGCCAACGATCTCTAATTGCTGGTAGGAGTTTAGTAATCATATAGGACCTTATTGTGACTCTGTCAACCTTCATTGTCTTGTTGATTGGTGTCCCCCTTGGTCTGTTACGACTTCTTCTTTTTGCTGGTTCCTACACCAATTGACAAACATGTTAGCTTCCAAAGCAAACCATAGAAACTAATTGAAGCAAAAACACACACATAAGTTCAAGTACCTCTCTTATAAAAGGCCATATGCCTAGTTTACCATCAAAGGTGCAGTTCCCTTCATCATCATACTGAGGATTGGCTACTGCACAGAAGAACATTACCTTTTCAATGTAATTCTTGTTCCGCACAGTCCTATGTGGGTCCTCTTCATCTTAAGTCATGTAGTAGGTCACATCTTTTCTTGTTCTGTTGAACCACTTCTCATCTTGGTGTATGATGTTCTTCATTTCCTTGAACTTTGGCTGAGTTTGCAATGTATGCTGCTCTAACATTGAAACACACCACCGCAACCTTTCTTTTTTGTTTTCCTCCTTTAAATATGGCTTCAATGAGTTGGAGTGCCGTCTTAGGAACCCATCTTTGAACATCTGATGTACTGTGGTTTTTTTCATACCTAGAGCTTGAGCTAGAGACCTTATGGTACACCTTATGTGCAATGGAATGGTCTCTACTTGTGAGGTGCCGATTTCAACCTTTTTGCGGCCACAATTCTTGGGCTTTCTTGAACTAACATCAACCGGCACTCCATTAGCATGACATTAGTGTGCTTGTGGCCAAATACGCCACACTGCATGTCGATTGACATGAAATAATTCAGCAACCTCAATTGTAGTGTTTCTCTTTAGTTTTCCTCGGTTGCTTTTCTCCAGCAGTGCTTCATATATCTGTTGCCTTTGAGCTATAGTAAGATCCTTTGACCTTGTCCTAAAATTCCCATTTGCTGGTTCATAATCTTCGTCACTGGAGTCAGATAACACCTCGTGATCAAAGACGATGTCCACCTCATTGGCATAGATGCCATACTCGTGCATTTCCTCCATGGTTGGGATGTAGTCATCATTAACTACAAAAAAATATAGGTGCTGATTGTGTTCATCTGGAACTAAACAAATGTACATCCATTTATTGTTTGATGGCTTAGTTTAACTTGTTTTTAATCATTGTAATCTACATTTGTGGAATGTGAAATTTATTAACAACTAATAGCTAAATGTACATTATTCGTATATTTTGCAGGAACTTCTCTACTGGACATGGTACTACATGCAGTGTGGGCACTGGTTGGAGGTTCTGTGTGCGTAATTCTTCATCCTAAAGTCTCTATTGGACATGGTACCACATTGGCCCACTAATTCATCAACAAATAAACCTTGAATATGAGATAAATTATGTCTAGTCCAATCTGATTATGTGCTATAGCTTTCAATACAATGTCATATAGTCCTTCGATTAAGTAACTCTACATTGAATTTATTCCAGAGCATGCATGCATGTAACCAATGGCTCAGAAAGGATCTTAACTTATAAGCCATTGTATTTTCTATTAAGCACTAATAAAAAAAGCATGTAGGCAAACTATGGAAGAAAATACATACAGAAAAAAACACTTATAATGGTCTAGATCTGGTTGATAGGAAGCATGTAAGTTGAGATCAAAAAGATCACCATAAACATCAAAGTTGCTATTTCCATCTGCACTAATACCTTCATCCCCTGTAGCTATGTCATCATCTCCAACAAAAACATGGAAAGGCTCTTCATCATGTGCAGGCTGCATATTAAGGTCTGGTATAGCTTCTCCTCCCCCATCTGGTAGGTGGTGTTCATCAAGAGCAGGTGAGTTTTGTGAGGTTGGAGTACTCCAATAACTTAGATAAGTGAAGAGACAAGTACCTAGGCTGATTATTTGGTTTTGCCCTCCAGTAATCTCAACTCCAACAAGATCATCTTGATGTGCATCATGGATCTAGAATAGATCATCCTCATCTTCAGGCCGCTTCTCGTTGAGGTCTGGTAAGGTCTCTCCCTCGTCAGTTGGTGGATTGTTCAAATCTAAAGCCATGGGTTCAAGGTAAGGGGGTGAAGAAAGATGGTGAGGCAGTCATCTCCAGGCTTTAAGCCAAGGAAGGAGTAAATAGAGGCATCTAAAATTTTATAATCTTTGCTATCAGCCACTTGAAAATGGCGCCAGCTGAAATGCGCGCCAGATGAAATGGCGCTGGATGACAGCGCGGGATGAAATGGTGTTGCATGCCTCTTCTCAGCCACACACACCTCCTCTCCGCCCACCTTCTCACCTGCAATTTGATTGACATCGATGCTCGTGTACCAATAGTGCGTCTGCGAGCATCTGCTAGCGGAATAAAGTAGGGGCATGCAGGTAATCTTACTCGGTCACTAATCTAGCCTCGGTGACGTAGAATTGCTTTCTTTCACGGACGGGGGAGTACTACCCCTACTATGCATGCAAATTCGTGCAGGGAAAGAAGGCCCATGCTGTGTGTCTGTGCGTCGCGCCTTGTCATTGATGCTCATAACTAGGAGCAGTGCACGTCGTTGTTACCATCTTTTTCCGTACAACAGTTTGTAGTAGGGGACCGGCCATTTGCCGACCCTACTAATCCATCTCGATCGCTACGTATATACTCGTAGATAGATGCTGTCCTGGAGATCGATAGCGACGGAACCGACGCGGCATACGTACATCGTCTACTACTACTTTGTACGGATAACGTACGTACGTGATGGATTCGTCAGCGTATGCAAAGCAGCATGTATGTGAACAGCGTTGTCACTACACCTACGGTTGATCGATTGTGTGGTGCGTGCATACTGCATACGTGCGTACGTCCCTTTCTTTTTTGTCTGTCGCTGGGACTACTTGAAAAGGCTATATACAGGGTAATTTGTTTGGTTAAGTTTATAAGTTGTTTAGGGTCAAAGTCAAATGACGTGTTCTTTTTTTCTTTTCTGGCCACTCATGTCTTTTCTCTTATTACCGGCTTTCTTAAAAGCCGAGTTAATCTCTTTAAAAAAACATGTTTTTTCTTTATTGCCCGTATTTTATATTAAAACGCAGGAACAAAGTTACATCATCTTATATTGATCACCGTGTTTTTTTGTGTATTTGTAGCTTCGCGTTTCTCGTAAAAAAAATTGTATCACACAGGCCATACATATATATGAGCATTGCTAGTGACTCGAAGGGTGTTTAGATACACGAAGCAAAATGGAGTGCCGGATAGATATGTGCCAAATCCTTCCTAATTCGGCGCGTGTGCGTCGGCATTAGGAAGCAACGTACAGACACGTGACGAGATATGTGAGTGGTGGCCATCGTCTTATGCGGAAGACCCACAATGTTAGGGGAGGGCAGTGGCCGCATGGGGCAGGCAGGGTGTGGGCAGGCGGCGCGGTGACAGGGTAGAGGTGGTTAGTGTTAAGGCTCAGCTTTGAGCTTTGGGGCTCTCCAGTGTCTTCCAAACCTAGAGGGATGGCCGGGGGTGGCAGCCGGCCCGGCGACGGAGGCAGATCGTTGGGCGGCGAGATAAGGCAGCAACGGCGCCTATAGCCAAGCGATGGAGGATAACCGGTGGGCGGAGTCGACGGCAGAGGCGGGGGACGCCAGAGTTAGGAATTAGGGCGGGGTAGAAATTGATGGTGGATGATGGTAGGCGGCTCGGGTGGCAGTGGGAGTTAGCAGCGGGGAGAGGTCGGGAAGAAGAAGATGCTATCAGGAGAAAGTAATGTGCGTCCCTAGTCTAACTTTTGCCCGGGCGTTGAGTAATAAGGGAGTCGATCAATCCCATATTGTTGGTACGACGTAGGACCTACAAATGCTTGTGTCTTTGCACCCGGTATATTGTATATAGGTACGTACCTATATACAATCCCTAGGTACGTACACCTACACTATACACGTCACTGCTATTTGTATGTGCGTCCCAATCATGTTATAGCATATCTACGATCCGGTGTTAAGTTTTGATAGCAACAGATCAATAATTGATGCAATTGGTAGCTTTCCCGAAAAGCTTGAGACTCCATGATATGCAAGGGGGTTAGCACACGAAATCAATATGTAGGTTTAATTAACTTATACGTAGATTAACCTGCTTAAATCATCTCTAAAACTTTTTGTTTCTCTCTAAAATGGCTCTGGCTCCAACTTGAGACCCCAAGAGGCCAGAACCAATCTATATGTATGATCGTGATCAAGGCGAAACCTCATTCAAACTTCCATCCTTGATCTACAGTTCAATTATTGTACTATAAGCAATGTTCCCCGTGATCTGATTCTGACGAGCGACCTGTGATGCTGGTCCAATGCATGCATGCCCCCATTTTCCATGCTTCATACCATGGCATCTGATGTGTTAGAGTAAATTGGAATAGTACCATTTTATATACCCACGTGAGGTGTTAGTTCTATGTACACTGGCGGAGCCACGTTAGGGCCATCCTAGGCGCCGGCCCCCCTTGCTCGGGATAGAATAGCATGCATGCACACTTGAAAGTTACCACTACCGCAAGCACATCTAGATTTTTTTTATTTTTAACACTTTTTGTAAACTAATTTTAAATTTAACACTGTTTTATTTTTTTTTCCAAAACTAACACGTTTGCCCTCGCCTATTTCTCTGGCGCGACGAAACGTCTGTGCCGCGCCATGCATGGTGGCGCGGCGAGAGGGATGACATGGCGACGACCGAAGCGCTGGCCGGTGACGTGGCAGGGTCTGCCGCGCCACCGATCTTGGTGCGGCAGTGACGCGCCATGGAGCATGGCGCGGCAAGGCCAGGCCGGACCCACACTCAGCTGTTCATTCTCTTTCCTCTACATACGACTGCGACTCTGCCGCTCTGCGAGTTGCCAGCGTGCGGCGGGTAGTCAGGCAGGCAGGCACGGCCGCACGTGAACTAGTGAGACTGAACATGAATACGTGATCCGCATAGGTACGAATGGCCTTAAAACACGCACCAGCTAGGACTACTATTAGCTAGTTGAGTCAAGTCTATTCATGCAAAAGGACTAGCATCCTGTAGATGAGATGACTATTCTAGCAAGGTGCAGACGTGCAACACCCCACCAGTGTATGGATGTACATGCTCTAGATAAATTTAGTAAAGGAATCTTGATTAATTTATATAACTAGCATGGATCAACAACCCTAGTTCTTGATGACATCACTATTAATAGTAAAAGATGACGTTTCTACCACTTTCCAAATCTTCCTATTGATTGACTTGATATATGTTGTCATCTTAGCCTTCCAATAAGGATAATTTGAGCCATCAAATTGGGGTGGCTTCTTGGTGTTGTTGATTTGAGCTATTTTTACACCGAAGGTTGTTAAGCCTCAAATCACTGTGACCTCGGCTCTGATACCACTTGAAAGGTCCTAATGGCTAGAGGGAGGGTGAATAGCCTAATAAAAATTTCTACAACAACACTTAGCAAACGGGTTAGACAATTATGAGGCAAAGCAAGTGTTGCGCTAGCCTACTAAAAATTGCAAGCCACCTACCACAATTCTAGTTTATATGGTTTATATCCACACAATAGCTATGTCACTACACTAAGTTAGTGCGCTCTCAAAAGCTAACTAAAGAGCCACACTAACCAAACCAACAAGCTCTCACAACTAGCTACACTAAAGAGCTTGACAACTAGTTTGCGGTAATTTAGAGAGAATGAGCAAGATGGTTATACCGCCGTGTAGAAGAGTGAACCAATCAATCACAAGGATGAATACCAATGGAGATCAATCACCTCAGAATCAAATGATGAACACAATGATTTTTACCAAGGTTCACTTGCTTACCGGCAAGCTACTCCTCGTTGTGGCGATTCACTCACTTGGAGGTTCACGCGCTAATTGACATCACACGCCAAACCCTCAATAGGGTGCCGCACAACCAACACAAGATGAGGATCACACAAGCCACGAGCAATCCACTAGAGTACCTTTTGGCTCTCCACCGGGGAAAGGTCAAAAACCCCTCACAATCACCATGATCGGAGCCGGAGACAATCACCA